TATTTAATTTTAATGCTTAAAACCCTATTGGATTTCTCCCGTTGGAGATACTCTTAGACACCACGATTCACGTTGTAATGCATGCCTCAAAATAAATGTGAGTTTCAATCGAACAAATTCACATAGCAATCATTTATAAACTATTCTTTTAAAAAAGAAGTTAAGAGTACAAATTCGACATCTATCCTACGCATATAGTATAGCTATAACATTTAACATGAAACATATGATAAGACATACGAACGCACAATAAAACATGAACAAAAAGTTTTGTTTTCCATTAGAGCATATGTTCTTATAGCATTAAACCTTTGGAATAAGCATCTTCTCATTACTATTTAGTCTCACTAGGCTTATAAATTCTCACATTTTCCTAGTAACTTCTCACCAACTATAACAAAAACAATAAGAAGAAACCACGAAATCTCCTAAAACGAGATCTTACACGATAATAGGAGAAAATGAAGAAGCTAATGATATGAATCAACAGATGATGAGTATTGGTGAGGACCAGGTAATCTGCATCCTGAGGTTTAAAGCTTTACGCAAAAGTTGAATATGCATACGCATACGTATGTGTGTTTGTATAGCTTTTAATCCTCGGGATGCGGATTACCTCTTCCTTACTTACAATACGTACACGAAGACACAATTACTCAAGAGGTAAGTTTTTTTTCCTAATTTTGACATCTTTACTAAGACGAATATTCTCCACATACACAAGATTTATTATACCCATATTCGTAACTCGTAAATATATATGATACATAGATATGTACGCACATGCATATAAAATGCATGTTTTATTACTACCAATCTTTTTGTCTAACCATAACGTACGAATATACGATGTAAGAAATGTTGGACGAATAGATTTTTTATCTTCTGACGGCAGACGAATAAGGAGTTTCGTAACGGACAATTTTCAAAATACATAGAATATGTACGCACATGCACATAAAATGCATGTTTTATTTCCAAAAATAGCATGAAAAGTTTTATATTTTAAAAATACCACTAAAAATTTTGGTTTTTCAAAAATACCACAAAAGTAGAATTAATATTTAAACCTTTAAAATTAAACCAAAAATCCTAAAAACCAAATCGTAAACCCAAAAATTATACTCTAAATCTAAAATATTTAACCAAAACCCAAAAATTTAATTCTACATCCTTAAAAATCACTTTTGTGTTTGAGTTACTTTTGAAAGACTAAAACTTTTGATGGTATTTTTGAAATAGATAACTTTTGATACTATTTATGGAAATAAAACTTCAAAATATGGTATTTGAGGGAAATCTTCTTTCATAACTATATTATTTGAAAGTCATTTTTTTACATGAAAACAAAATATTTAGAACGTTCTTTTATATATGGTTCAACTAATATAACTTGGTTATAATTATAGCTACCTTTTTCTACATTTTTACATCATGTATAGTTGAGGTCAAAGAGAAAACTGTAATTAATAAGTAGCACATTCTATACAAGTTGATATAACTAGGTGACTTGTGTGATTATTTCATATATTGATTAAATTTCTCTAATTAATAAAAGTTCAATTAATGACGACTCATTGCCCGAATGCTCGATGGCAACAGTTAATTAATTACAATTAACTATAGAGCTGTCTGATTATTTAGTCTATAACACGACTCTTGTGTCTCTTTGAATCAGTAACTCTAACTAATTAATATGTATTTGCTTTTGGCAAATCTATAACTATACGCAAATACATATAGTGAATAGTATTTTTCTGTCCCAATATATAAGATTTTTTATCTAAAAACGCAAAATTTAAAAATTATTTAAGTTTATATTGAAAATACCATTTAACATTTAATTAAAACCAAGGGGGCGATTGGTAAGTGTCTTTTAAGTATTTAATTATATATTTTTGTTGTAGACTTTTGGCTGTAAATGTTGTAACTATTACTTTAAATATTACTAAAAGTCTATTTGGTAATGCAAATTGTATAAGCTGTGATTGTTATTTTAATAATTTTTTGAAAATAATTTTTTGGCGGAAAATATAAATTATGAAATAAATCTGATAAAAAATATCTAAACTAAATAAATTTCATTTATTTTTAGTATTTCATGTTTTGGATTTCATAAATAAAGTTCATCAAGAAGTGGAATAAACTGTTAAACATTTGATTAAACACTCTAGCTCCTGAATCTTTTTTATAAATGCAGTGTGCATCTTCAAATACTCTAAATCATTCTTCAAGTGTTTCCAATTCAAACGACAAACAAAATGCACATAATTTTCTTAAATGATTTTTTCCCAATGAAATATTGTTCTATCATTTATTTTGTGAAATTTTCATAATTTATTGATTTATATGAAAATGGATCTTAAAAGAATAGAAAAAAGGAATAATAATTAATCAATCGGTTTTTTATTAATAAACTATATATTAATCTAAAACGACATTTAAATCATTATGGGAAAGATGAGAAAAAAAAATTCTTTAAAATTATTTATTTTCTCAAGTTAAAGCCATCCAACGAAGGGTTTAGAAAAACATGACCAAAAGAAAAAAAAAAAGCTTTAGAGTCTTTAAAAAATAAAGATACTAAATCATGTTTGGTAAAAAAGAGTCTTTAAATTTTTTTTATTTTTTTCTAAAGCTTTAAAAGCACCTTTGCCAAACACTCCCCCAAATCAACCAACAAAAACAAAATACTGCATAATATAAATAGTCATAATACATTAAATTTTGCTTAGAAATTTAAAAAAATTTTATAATATGGAACAAAATAAAAAATGTAAAACATCTTACATTTTGGGACAGAGTGAATGTATAGAATCGCAAACATAGTTTTATATGTTGCTCAAGGGTCGTTCATTGCCTTTGACATATATGTTTGGGCTAGTGATTTGGCATTTTGGTTCTACTACTCAATTATATTAATTATGTTTATTCCATTTCAATTAGGTGACTCATTACAAGCAAAGATAGATTTTACGAGCAATATCAACTATAAAACCATATATAATATTCTATTGTAAGAATATTGATTCTACAAAATATATATGATGAAGTAAATACTAAATGAACATGCATCTTAAATCTGAAAGTTTCGAAATTCCTGCTCCGTCTAATTCATAAAGTAAATTTGGTGTACATACGAATCCAAAGTTACACTGGATCTTGCTTTACAAAACGAGAAAATCACTTGTGTAATTTTTTTTAATGATTTGTCTAGTATTCACATTTCATAAATGC